CTTCTGTCTTATGGTTCGGAGCTCCCACGAAGACAGCGTCTTTCTCTACCACATGTGCCGGTCACCAGTATGGTTTGCATCATCTCTGACCTGAAAGCAGTGGAACTAGCTGACTTTGAACTAAGCCAAATCAATCCTTCCTCCTTCAAGTCAGTTCTCTGGCCTTTGTCATAGTGTCCAGAGGCCAGCACAGGGAAGTGCTGGCCTTGTCAGGCTGGTACATCTTCCTCGGCACCACTGGGCAGCCCTCAGCCTGTGGCAAAGGAAGAACAGCCTTTCCTAGGATTCTTCCAGCCAGGGCTGATGACAGTTTCTTTGTCTCTAGCTGTGACTCAGTGAGGAGGCAATTCCCAAAGTGGCCTGCTGCAGCCATGCCTTGACTTGCAGAGCACAAATCCATGGCAACAATGGGTTGGTTTGCAGAGAGAAGCCTACAGGGCTGTGCTTCTCTGGGTGCTCATCCGTGTTGAGGTCACTTCTGTGCCACATCACAAAGGAAGCGAGCCTCCTCTTCCCTCACTGTGACAGAGTGAGTGAATCAGCCTTGGGTTTGCCGCCCTCGCTTTGCTGGAGTGGGCTTTCTTTGCTTTGCAAGAGCCTGTGGCCAACCTCTGGTCAGGGACTGTGTAAACTGTCCAATGCCTTTGAAATCAGCCCGGGTGGAAGTACTTAACCTATGGGAATCTGAAAACACTGTAAATCAGATTCTTTCTTTCTTTCTTTCCTCCCTCCCTCCCTCCCTCCTTTTCTCCTCCCTTCCTCCCTGGATAGCTAGTTGTTAAACATCTCCCAGCTTTGCTGAAGGAACCACAGGCTGGATTCTTGTCCCTAACAATCCAGAGAATTGAGAATCAGGCAGCCATCGATGCTGAGCCCACCTAAATCCCACCTGGGACTTTCATGCTGCCCTGAATCACAAATGAAGAGAATCTCCTCCATGCAACTTCGGTGTTAGAGGGTTTCCAGCCCCACCTTCAAAACAAGATTCTACCTCAAAAATATTCAGCCTTCTTGCAGTTAGACACTCCGAGGCAGCCTTCCCTGCACATCTGTCTGGCGCCCTGTTAGCAGGGAGAGACAGCAAAGCATGTGTGCGTTGTCTGCACTAGATGAGAGGGCTCCATCCGGAGCTCAGGCAGAGGCAAAGAGGAAGTCTGCCCAGCACATGGGAGAAGAAAGAGAAAAGGAAATGCCCAGGCTTCCTCCAATGTCCGTGTACCCAGCTAGTTCTCTTGGGATGCATCTGAGAGCTGGGAAGGAAGAAGGACAGCATCTTTCATCCCAAGCTGGGACTCTGCCCGCTGGCAGAGAGGACCCAGGAGCGCCCAGGCCTCCTGCTCAACCCCTCCTCTTCCTCCTCTTGGAAAAGAAGCAAGCATGAGGGCAGGGGTGGGAGGGGCAGAATCTGAGCATGGAGGCCTTTTCAGCTGTCTTCTGAATTATTTTTGGTGACAAGCAGGATCACTGAAACTATTCATACTGACCACATCCATGGTTTCATCTCTGGAAGCTGTTTCTAAAGAAAAATTAAAAAGATTGTGTATGGACCTGATTATTAACTGTTAGAACAGGGACGGGATGAGTAACTAGAATCCAGACAAATGTCTAGCAGGCGGGAATGACTGAGTGAATATACCACAGCAACCCAATTTAATACGCGCAATGGTCATAAGACGGAAGCTCGCCTACGTTACCCAACCGGACACTTAGACTCGGGAGCCTGTGAGGTGGCTTGGGAGATAAAGGCGTTTGCCGCCAAGCCTGACAATCTGAATTCCGTCCCCAGGACTGCCACGGTGGGAAAAGAGACCTGACAACTCCTGACAGCTGTCCTCTGGCCGCCACATGCACACCCTGGCATGTGTACCCCAAAACCCCCACGGTAAATAAGTAGGTGAGGAAAATGTAATGAAACATCAGGCTTGAACTTTATACTCAGAATGCAGACAATACAAAAAGGGGGAAGCAAGCCGAGTCACGTTTTGGCTGGAAACTAGAAAGATACTTCAGCTGTCCACTGTGGTTTCTTTGTGTGGTGAAGCTGTTGTGGGTTTTACTTCTGCTTCTCTCTGTATTTTCTAAGTTGTGGTCAATAAACTTAAATAGAAATGGACTCATTTATTAAGCATTTCTCTTGTACCCTTTAAGGTGGATACTTCCATTATCTCTGATTTACCATGATGACGAGACTCAGAGAGCTTAAGTAACTTGCCCAAAAACACACAGCTGATACACAGAGAGGAGCCAAGATTTGGAGCCCGGCTCTTTGATTTTAGAGTCAAAGTCTCGTTCCATCCCAACTTTCCCAGGAAGAAAAGATATTAGATAAGTAATGTATATCAAATTGTACAAATAAAGAACTACATATTGAAAGAAATAAGCATTTGAGTAGCAGACATACTTTTCAAGGCTAGCTCAAGGCTCAGCTCATTTTTGAAAACTTCTGCGCTTGTCTCTGAACATTGAGCCCAGGTCTGATCTATGTGTGTCCTATACTGTCCCCGTGGGCTGTCCATCCTCACAGGTGTCCTTCTATACTGTCCCCGTGACTGTCCATCCTCACAGGTGTCCTTCTATACTGTCCTCATGACTGTCCATCCTCACAGGTGTCCTTCTATACTGTCCCCTGTGGGCTGTCCATCCTCACAGGTGTCCTTCTATACTGTCCCCTGTGGGCTGCTCTTTCTCACATGCAGGGTTCACATTGGCATACTCAGAGATATTGCAGACAACAGTAATAAAAGAGCCTATCACACTAAAGCAAGAGTTACTGGGTTCGGGAGGCAGATGTTTCAGTGGTTTTGGGCACTTTTTGCTCTTACTGAGGACCTGGGATAAATTCCCAGCACCCACATGGTGATCACAACTATCTGTAACTACAGTTCCATGAGTTCCAACACAGCAGATATGCACATTTTGCACATTATACATGTGAGCATAACACTCATACATATAAAATTTAAAAATAAACAAATTCATAAAGAATTACTGGGGTTTCAATGTCTATACAAGTTGTCTTTACCCAGTGCTATAGCCCATTAAGTGTGTGATAGTATTGTGTCCAACAATTTAAGCACACACTATTGCTAAAATAATCACTATGATTCATCTGAGTCTTTGACGTGTCCTAATCCTTTGAAGGTGGGGATCTTGACTCAGTGTGAATGCTACTGTCTTATCAGGGTGGATGTTGATGAAGCTTGAAGTGGTTGTGTTGGGAGAATTCCCACATGGCTGTGGTAATTTCTTCAAATAACTTGACAGAATGATCCCATTGACAAGATCAAGTTCTGACAGGAGCAACTTCAGTTAGGAAGGACTTATTTGGGCCCCTAGTTTAAGGACACAGTCCACATGGCAGGGAAGTCATGGTGAGTTTTCTTTTTCACAAAAGACATCTCTACAGCAGGCAATGGGTGCTGTCTTGATGTGTTTTACCCAGGCTTGTAGCGGGCAGCCATTCCAGCTTTGGTCTGCAAGTTCCAACCCCCATTGAGGCTTCGGTAACTATCACGCCTACAAGCCGGGGCCAAGGGAGGACCATGAAGACCCGAGATCGGTCTCTTCCTGCTTGGGTCTTCAGGGCCCTCCCTCACCCCCCACCCCTTGTAGGCATGACAGTTACCGAAGCCTCAATGGGGGTTGGAACTTCCAGATCAAAGCTGGAATGGCTACCCACTACACAGGCTGGAACTTCTTTCAAGATTATTCAATTCTCTCAGATGCTGTTTTATCAACTAAGTGTATATGACATTCTGTGCCAGTGGTTCTCAACCTGTGGGTCACAACCACTTTGTGGATCAAATGACCCTTTCATGAGGGTCACCTAAGACCATCAGAAGACACAGATATTTTTATCATGATTCATAACAGTAGCAAAATTAAAGTTATGAAGTAGCAATGAAATAGCGCTATGGTTGGGGGTCACTACATCATGAGGAGCTGTATTGAGGGGTCCCAGCATCAGGAAGGTTGAGAACCATGGCTCTACACCCTTTGACCTCATTTCCACAATGGCTTCTGGCTCCCGTCAGTGTCAGTATGTTGGCAATCACAATAGTAACTTCAAAGACTCTGATCACAGATCCCCATAACATGATAATATTGGTGGAGAAGTTTGAGATGTTTTGGGGATAACCAAAGTGTAACACAGAATGAAATTAATACATGCTGATGGGGAAATGGCACTGGCAGACCTGCCATGGTACATGCAGGTTACCCAAACCTTTCACTTGTAAAATCACAGTTCTGACAACAGAACCCAGATAACACTGTTTCTAAATGAGCCAATTATCTGAACAGATACTTCCCAAAAGAAGAAATACAAATGGACAACTATTATGTGAAAAATGGTTATTATTGTTAGCCATCATGGAAATGCAAATCCAAGGCACAATGAGATTCCATATCATCTCAGTTATAATGACTACCAAAAAAATGTCCATTGTGGAGAACAATATGGTGGTTTCTCAAGAACCCACAATTTGATCATTGTATGACCTAGCTTTCCCACTCAGGTGGGAAAGGGCAACTAAACCAGTGTACCAACAAGATACCTAAGTATCTGAGTTCATCAAGGCAGTATTCATAATAGCAAAGACACAAAATCACCCTAAGTGCCCTTCAACAGATCAATTAATAAGGAAAATGTGATGTATGTTCACAATGAAATATTACTCAGCCATAAAGAAGAGCATCCAGAACTGGATAGTAAGGTCCTGCTGCTGGAAGCACCACACACGGTGGTTGCAGGACACCAAGAAGTCAAGCTGGGACTGAGCTGGATGCTTCCCCCTGGCTTGCTGGCTTCCACAGTGCCGGAAGGGATCCGCAGGCTGCTGGTCACCAACAGTCTCACATAGCCGTGTGCGCTGTGCGCTGATCTGTGAGCTGATCTTACACAGATGTCACACTAGATCTGCCAGGCAGGGTGTGCTGTGGGTGCAGTAATGGCAGCTGTTACGGGGTGAACACCCAACTGCTCTCTGCCTGGATTTGAGGCCTGTCCCACAGAAGGGAATTCATGTCTGATAGTTGAAACGAGGCCAAAGCCCATGACCTTAGTCATGGATCCCAGAGGAGAAGCTACTATTGTTGTTTTCCTAAATGAACTAGGAATCCCCAGAGCAAGCCAGGTTAGCCATCAGTAAGCTCTGGGTTTGATTAAGAGCTCTGCCTCGATGAATGAGGTGAAAGAATGATCAAGGATGATTCCAGACATCAACCTTCAGCATCCAATGCATGCATACACATGTGTATGTGCTCACACACGTGTCCATACATGTGCAAATGCCCATACACACATCACATCACACACATACTCACATATATGTACATACACACATACATACACATCACACACATACACACATCACACAAAAAACCCACATACACACATACTCACATCACACACATACATACACATACATCACACACACAAAAAACACATACACACATACTCACATCACACACATACACACATACTCACATCACACACATACACACATACTCACATCACACACATACACACACATACATCACACACACAAAAAACACATACACACATACTCACATCACACACATACACACATCACACAAACATACACACTTCACAATACATATACGCACATCACACACATACACACATGTGGAAAAAGGACAGGGGAGACAGAGGTTGAGGGGGTTATGAATAGGAGGTTGTATTTCATTAGTACACAGTGCATGCATGTGTGGAAATGCCACACTGAATGTCATCAATGTGTATAATTAATACATGTTAATAAAAACAAACAATTTTTTTGGAAATGTGCTTATCTTAAGAGTACAGTAAAGTGATGTGTAATAAACCAGACGTAACCAGACCCTCTCCAAGAGCCTGGGGAAAGGAATGCCTCCTTCTCTCTCTTCTCCCTTCGTTTTTTCCTGTTGCAACCTAGATATCAGCTGCAGTCTCTTGCCACATTACAAGATAAACCACAGGAGAAATTTCAAAATCAGTGCCCTGAGGAAACTTAAGGCCTTACCCAAGACCCCATGAGTTGCTTGGAAACATGTTTTCTGAAGTTTAGCATCCCTGCCACTTTAGACTTCATGAACCTGTACACTGAGATGTTCCACCTTCCTGTCTCTGGTCCAGATGGACAGCAGCTCTTCCTCTGTTCTATGGACACCCCCCACGCATGCCCCACTTAGAAGACAGTCTGAGTATGTAGATGTCGGTAGACATGTTGGGGAGCCGAGGAGAAACTCAGACAGCTCCAGAGTGAACTTAGACATCCGTGTGAAAAGCAAACCAAAGCCAACTCGGTGGCATTGATGCTGGGAAATGTGTTCTCATTGGCTGCTTTCCTTGGTGGAGTGCCTCCCTGGAGCCTCCCTCCCTCCCCCTCCCTCGCACTGCTTTACACACACATGCACACATGCAACATGCCTAAGTCAGTATTCTCTCGACTCAGAAGTTCCTCAGCTCACTCTGAAGACAGCTCTGAGCTCTCCAGGTGCCCAGCTGGACAAAAGGGCTCTTCACTGCAGCAGAACCCTCTCCTCTTGCAAGGTTCTTGTGTTTATGGAGAACAAACTTTTTTTTTTTTAATCTGTTTTCATTTGTTAACTTTGTGTTACTGAAATGAAATGCCTACAGCAACCAATTTAATAAAGGGAAGTTGGTTGCTTAGCTCATGATTTTGGAGGTTTAACTAGACCTAGGCCTCTGGTGAGCATGCTGAGTGGTAACGGTAGTAGATAAGTAGGAGAAAGTGGCCACATCCCAAGCCATGAAGTAGAGAGTGAGGAAGAATGGAGTGAAATCCTCGCCATCTCATTTAAGAGTGTGTCCCAGTGACCTAAAGACCTGACACTAAGCTTCACTACTTTGCACCACCTCTCAATAGTGCCACCCTAGGGACAAAGCCTTTAGTAAATGTTCAACATCCAAACTACAGTGTGTGTGTGTGTGTGTGTGTGTGTGTGTGTGTGTGTGTTACACTTATATGTAACATTTAATTGAGAATTTTCTATGATGCCAAACAGGAAACTAGGGAAAAAACAAGCAATATCTTAATCTTTAAGTCCCTTAAAAAACTCACCGTTCATGTAAGAAGTACCCCACACAAGTAACAGGTGCTATAGCAGAAGTAGGACCAGAGACCCTGGGATTCAAGGCAATGGAACAACCTAGAGACCTGGGCTTTTTCTACTTTCATTTCTGCGGCTGTGATAAAATACCTTGACCAAAATGCAACCTAGGAGGGACAAGGATTGCTTAACTCACAATTCCAGGTTGGAATCTATCATAGCATTGAAGTCAAGGTCATAGGAACTTCAAACAGCTGCTCACAACACATCCACAGTTGAGAGCAGAGAGAGGTGAATGCAGGCATACACACATGCAGAGAGAGGTGAATGCACGCATGCACACATGCAGAGAGAGGTGAATGCAGGTATGCACACATGCAGAGAGAGGTGAATGCAGGCATGCACAGATGCAGAGAGGTGAGTGCAGGCATGCACACATGCAGAGAGAGATGAATGCAGGCATACACACATGCAGAGAGGTGAGTGCAGGCATGCACACATG